TAGTATTTCTTGTGCTTTAGAAAAATGGGCAGATTAAGGTATAGTTTTACTCTTCTACATTATATCTCTTCTGGATATTTTATGATAAATATGGCTAAAATTTTGTATAAATGTGTTAGTGGCAGCCTCTACTTACATGAATTGCCATTGAGAAATTAATCCTGTAACTATTATGAGTATTTTTTAATATCATCCTAACACTAAATTGAATCTTAATGATGTATAATTATTTAATAACATATACTATGTATATAGGAATATACTTTATGCAACTGGATTTTAAAATTGTGGAAATGTCACTATAATGGCCTGAGAATTTGTAAACATACTCTGCATAATATACTAATTGCAGTGGTACAACTTATTTAAGGAGAAGACATTGATAACTATGGTTATAACAGGATTTTGTTGTTTTTTTTTTATCATGCAAAGGAATATATAATTAAGGAATGGAAATATTTAGTAAACATTTTGGAAATATCTATTGCAGTATTAAATTCTAGAAATATATTTTCCAAGAAATGACTCATAATTAAACCTGAAACTGCTAGAATTTGACATTATAAATATTATGAAATATAATTAAATTTTAATTACACTAATTTAGCTTTTTGTGGTAAAAAGGTATAAGATTCCTACATAGAGTACTTTTTTAAAAGGTATTTACTAATATGTTATGTTCTCAGAGTCACAGCAAATGCATGGTAATTACTATAAATTACTATACCATGATCCTCATCAATTCTCATATCAATGTGATCCATCTCAAATTGATTTTTATATATGATGAGACATAGAGATCTAGTTTCATTCTTCTACATGTATACACCTAACTTTTCTAGAACCATTTATTGAATATATTATACTTTCTCCAATGTGTGGTTTGGGCACTTTTGTAAAAATCCTTTGACTGTATAGGGATTAATTTCGGGTTTAATTTCTGGGTTCTTTCTTCTGTTCCCTAGACCTAGGTGTTGATTTTATGCAAGTATTGTGCTGTTTTAATTACTATAGCTTTCTTTTTTTTTTAAGATTTATTTATTTATTTGAGAGGCAGAATTACAGACAGAGTCTTCCATTCACTGGTTCACTCCCCAAATAGCTACAATGGCAGGAGCTTAGCCAATCAGAAGCCAGAAGCCAGGAGCTTCTTCCTGGTTTTCCACGCCAGTGCAGGGGCCCAAGAACTTGGGGCACCCTCTACTTCTTTCCCAGGCCATCAGCAGGGAGCTGAATTGGAAGTGGAGCAGCCGGGACTCAAAACCCTGCCTATATGGGATGCAGGCACCACAGGCAGATGCTTAACCCACTATGCTACAGTGCCAGCACCTACTATAGCTTTCTATAGCTTTGAAATCCGTGATTGTGATGCCTCCAGTTTGACTTTTTTTTTTTTTTTTTTTCAGAGGATCCCTTTGGATATTCTGGGTCTTCTGAGATTCCATATAAGTTTTAGGAGTGTTTTTCTCTAATTCTGTCAGGAATGTCACTGGCATACTGATGGGGATTGCATTGAATTTGTAGATTAGTAATTATAGACATTTTAATGATATTAATTCTTCCAATCCATGAACAAGGAATAGTTTTCTGTTTTTTTTGTGTGTGTGTGGGTGCCCTAGATGACTTCTTTCATCAGTGTTTTCTAATTTTCATTACAGAGATTTTTCCCTTCTTTGGTTAAACTTATTCCTAAATACTTGATTTTTTGTTGCTATGTGAATGCAGTTTATTTCTTGATTTCTCTTTCCCTGAGTTCATCATTAGTATATAAAGAAACTACTGATTTTTTTTTTTTTGACAGGCAGAGTTAGAGAGTGAGAGAGAGAGAGAGACAGAGAGAAAGGTCTTCCTTCCATTGGTTCACCCCCCAAATGGCCGCCATGGCCAGTGCACTGCACCAATCCGAAGCCAGAGCCAGGTGCTTCCTCCTGGTCTCCCATGCGGGTGCAGATGCCCAAGGACTTGGGTCTTCCTCCACTGCACTCCCGGGCCACAGCAGAGAGCTGGACTGGAAGAGGAGCAACCGGGACAGAATCCGGCACCCCAACCGGGACTAGAAACCACTGATTTTTGTTTGTTGATTTTGTAAACTTCAACTTAACTAAATTGGTTTATCAGTTCTAACAGCTTTTTGATGGAATATTTAGGTTTTGCTATATACAACATCATGTCATCTACAAACAGGTGTATTTTGACTTCTTCCTTTTCAATTTTGATGCCCTTTATTTCTTTCTCCTCCATTATTGATTTTACTAATACTTCCAGTACTGTATTGAATAGAGTGGTGAAAGTGGACGTCCTTATCTTATTCCAGATCTAGTATCATTCTGTATGATATTGGCAGATGGTTTTTCATATACAAACTTTATAATTTTGAGATATGTTCTTCTATGCCTACTTTGGGAGATTTTTTTTCTTTGTGAAGGAATGCAGGTCTCCTACAATCACAGGGAGGAGGGGATCCATTCTCAGCCTCCCTCAACCATTCAAAGAGCCATGGTGATTCTTTTTTTTTTTTTTTTTTTTGAAGATTTTTTTGTTGTTGTTTATTTGACAGGTAGAGTTACAGACAGTGAGACAGAGAGACAGAGAGAAAGGTCTTCCTTCCGTTGGTTCACTCCCCAAATGGCCGCCACAGCCAGCATGCTGCACTGATCCAAAGCCAGGAGCCAGGTGCTTCCTCCTAGTCTCCCATGTGGTTGCAAGCCCAAGGACCTGGGCTATCCTCCACTGCCCTTCGGGGCCACAGCAGAGAGCTGGACTGGAAGAGGAGCAACCGGGACTAGAACCTGGCACCCATACGGGATGCCGGCGCCACAGGCAGAGGATTAACCTAGTGCGCCACCGTGCCGGCCCCAGAGCCATGGTGTTTCTAATGCCGTCTGCCTAACCAGTAGTGGTTGGTCAGTGCTCTTGGCAAGTTGAGTCCAAGCACCATGATAGATTGAGAGGGAGATGGGAGATTCTCAGATCTAAGTGGGTGCCCTGCCCCCCGTCAAATACAAGCCAGACTCAAAGTCAGCGGGGACCATGGATTTATCCCTCCAATAAAATTCCCAAGTCACATGTGGACTGGAGCAGCCCCTATTTGCCTTATTAAGAAGACATTTCCTCCCTGCTGTTGATTGGGTGCCTTGCTCCAAGAATATGGCTTCTCCAGCTGCTGGCTGTTTGAGTCACCAGTGGTTTCCTGCTAATTGCTGCGTGATTGTAATGCCCCTGCTGCGCCACAGTGTCTCTCTTCCTTTTGTAGAATTTCCACTGCAAACTCTTCTCCAGCTGTCCTCTGGGAATGCAGTTCCTCTTCCTTTCTTCTGTTATCTTCGTGTGCTCAGAATCAGCATGTCTTTTCCCTATTCTGCCATCTTGGAAGTGGGGAAAACTCTTATTTAAATTGTTGTATTTTGGGAAGAAGAACAAAGATTTTCTGAGTACAAAGTTCTTCATATTTCCTCAAGGTGTTTAATAAAGCAGCTTCATATTTATCAGTTGTGTACCTTATTGCCAATTGACGTCTTCTTCACCTGGAAAAGTGGCTTGCTGCAATTGTATGTATGGACATAGATGGTACATTTCCCAGGCCAGGTAACCAAATCAACAGATGACGAGGCAAGTGGATTCTTCCCTATTGTCAAAGCAGTTAAATCCTGCTCTTTTTGTTCACCTGTGGACTGCAGAGCCCCTGTGCTCTATGTAAGTTCATTATACAAAGGAATTCAATTATTTACATATCTACCTCTTACATATACCATGGAATATCAACTACTTCACCTAACCTGGGTTGAGAATAAACCAATAATTAGGTAATCTATAACTTTCTGCTGAAATATGCCTCTATTTATGAATGAGTTTAATTAAAATGACTATTATACATTTTCCCAACCAAATTCCCCCTTTTCAATAATTCAGCTAAGATACCAGGCATCATCTTAGCATTATACACAACATATTTGTAAGAAGATAGTATTCTAAATGCCAAATACATACAAAAGAAAAGAGAATAGTATAAGGAATTCCATCACTCAGGTTCAACAATTATTAACTAGTGGTCAATCATATTCCATGTTACTACTTCATCCTCCTTGGTGCCTTTAAATTTTTTGAAGCAAATTCTAGGTGTAATGACATTTTATTTGTAAACATTACTGTATGTATTTGCAGAAGAGAAGGTTACTTTTAGAAAACAAATTGATGATACCTAAAATATCAACAATTCCTTAGTATCACCCAATAGTCAATTAGTATTTAAGTCTGTACTGCTTATATTTTGTGTGTTTGTATAATATCCTGCTAAGGACTATACTTTGTGACTAGTTAATATGTTTCTTGAAGTCTAGAGCAGTATTTCTCAATTTTGCTTCATTAGGTATCTTTTATCAATGCCTGCAGACATTTTTGGTGTTTACTAAAGATGGGTGCTATTGATGTCTACTGTGTGGAGGTCAAGGATACAGCTAAGCATCCTCCAATGCACAAGACAGCTATCAGAAAAAAAAGAATTATCTGATCAAAAATGTCAAAAGGGCAAGATTGAGAAACTGATATATAGGTTCCTCTTTCACATATTTGTTTATTTGTAATTCATTTGTTGAATAAATGAGGTCATTTGTCCTAGAGTTTCCTATAATCTGTGTGTGGTTGATGACATACAGTAGTATCCTTTAGCATATTTCGCTGCCCCTCCTTGTGTTTATTGGCAGTCAGAACGATGTAAGTTGTAAGAACTAAAAGCTTTTTCAGATTAAGATTCAGTTTTTTAGCAAATCTCCTTCATTCTATTTCATACAGTTGTATACTTCCACCAGGAGTGTGATTATCTCTCTCATCAATATGGGTAACTATTGATGATCAATGCCAGTATTGATTAGTTGACTAGGTGTTCAACAATAGTTAAATTGCATTTTTTTGTAATTTATTTTTCATTTATAATGAATATCATTGCTTCTTATAAATATTCATTATCATGTTTGATATTTACACACCCCTGTATCTTTTTCCAGAAACATCCTGTACCATGTTGATGAGAAGACAAGGCAGTTTTCATTACTGGTGGAGGCTTGGGAACACTGCAAGCCACTTGCATCAAATGAGACATTTCAAGAAGCCCTGTCAGAGGTGTTGAACAGCATTAATTCAGCTCAGGTTTACTTCAAAGCAGGACTTGATGTGTTTGAGAGTGTCTTGGTTGAGAAGAACTGAGGAAATGCTCAGCATTTTAAAAAGTTTGTTTACAATTCCACAAGCTAGAGCTCTAATCTGACCAGATTTTCTGAAAATGAAGATTTTTCTCCCCAATGGCTTTTTGACAAGTATAAAGCTATTATTACATTGTATTTTTAATGTACATATAAAAGAGCATTTTGCACATTTAATATTTTTCTTATACCTACATTCGAATATAAAAAAGCAAGTTATTGAAATAAGATTTATCTATTAAAAAGAAGTCTGCTGTATTTTTATATGTATAGACAATTGGGGGTAGGGGGAAGTTCCAAGTTCTGAACAATATTCATGCCTATGGACAGAACACATAAGAACACAGTTATTCCCTGTGATAGAGCAATTAATGACCTAGTTTCTGTCATAGAAATTGCAAGGTGATATGGTTTCAGATTACTTTCACTAGTAAGTGTTCAATATGAAAAATTCAAGTATTCTGACTGATTGGTTGCCCCAAACCACTTTGAATGTTTCTATTTTATGAAATGAAGTTCCTTTTCTTAACATAACTAGATGTAGTAATACACTGGTTATGAAATTGTATTTTTTAAGTATTAATGAAAAAAGAGCTATAAACATTCCAGGGGAAAATCTCAAGGTAACTGCACAGAGTAATTTAAATGTAAATTTTTTCCTAACAACTTATAAGATGACTAGCTTTGAAACCCCTAATTTGCCTCAGTTGATTTTGCAAGAATTTCAGGAGTGATGTATATCTTATGAGGGAGAAAATATTTATTTCTTTTTCTGTTGTTTCTGTTCATGGAACCATTGAAAGAGAGGCAACTCCCAAATGAAAGTGTCTCACATTGCTTCTTGTATCTTTTCTGAAACTGTTTGCTGTAGAGTCAGTTTTCACAGAGTACTATATCATTTCCATAGGAAAGTTGTGAAGTTTCTTTTTGAAAACACAAACTACCTTCAAAAGCATCAAAGTGCTATTTCTACCACAGACCAAAAAAATTTATTATGAAAGAAAGAGTTGTTTTTATCAATGAAAAACACATTAATTCTGTTCATTAATCTTAGTTGTTACTAAGATGAAAATGTGGAAAATATTCATCCTTCTAATTTCAAGTAGAAAATGCAGTGGTAGTATAAGAGTGTGTCTCTCAAAACTTTAATTCTTCTCTCATTTGGAAAATTAATCTTTCCATATTGGCATTGTCATTGAATAGCCCTTGCACCCATTATTTCCTCAGATCCTAAAATTTTGCCTATTAGGCAACAGGTTAAACTTTTAGCTTACCTTTAGAAATTGATTTGAGAATATATTCTCTGGTATGGGATAAAGCAATTGCCCTTAGGAAACATATCCTTGAAATATTTCATATGATTTTTTCTGCTTAATTCAATACTCACCTATCCCCATTACATCCTAGTGAGCCATGTTACACAGTCCCTATATGTCTAAATATGCATTTTTATGGATGAGAATATACCTAATCTTAGTTTAAAAGAAAACTATAGTTGAAGGAAAATAATTACTCTATATTGATTAATTGATTTATAAGAGTAAGCTGTTCCTATCAAACAAAATATTTTTATGTGCAAGACAAAGTAGAGAATCCAGGCGATTACCTAGATAATTCAAGCAGAAAACCATTTTCTTCTGAATTGCCTATATACACATTTCTACATGTGAAATGAAGCAGCTGTAAGATTTTATTTTTCTAACCAACATACTTGTTTGAAAATTTTTGCCATGTTAAAAACTTTGTATGTGAAAGGGCTAAAAGGATCAGGATCTGACATGGATGATATTAGTGCCCTCTCTTGCTGTGCAAAAATGAACAGTGGAGACGTGGGAATGAACACCTAGACATGCATAGACCCAAATAATAGAAAGCCTTATACGTAAGAATCATACATATTTCATCAAAGGTCAGTGTCTTCATTCCAGTTCTTCATTTGGAGTTAAATTTAATACAAAATAGTGAACTATTTATCAGTTTGGTGGTTTATCATTTTTGAACAAATTCATAAATAAATCTACTCCCATAATATACAATAACATTAGGAGCATAAAATATTTCCCTTTTCATTTTTGTTTCAAGACTGTATACCTAGGTAAATCAAGCATGATTTCACTGATATTTATGATAATTTCATTATCCTCTACTCCTTACTTTTAAATAATATAGTATTTACTATTTGAAAACTGCAGTTAGCTATGGACTAAGATGTTATTTTTTTTTACTCTATTGAAGAGATTATATGAAGATTACAACAGAGATTCAACATCTTGACATCTCTGCAATAAAACTTAACTAGCAGTATTTCTGGCATGGTGTGACTATCAGAAAGTTCTTCCAAATTTATATCATTTCATTTTTTTCCTCCAATAGATGTAAGTTAGTAAAATCTTGGGCAAGTTAATAACAAGTGTTGTGTGAATTTCTCCTTCATCCATAGAATTGTGCAAAGAAACAACAGATCATAAATGATTATTCTCCCAAGAAAATGTGGCAAACATGTACTGCAGGTGGGGTAGCAGTGACATTCAGACCTTTATGGAAACGTGTTAACCTTAGAATTCAAAGCAAACCTTTGAGATATTCTAATCTAAGCATTAGGTTCTTGCCTTCATTCAGACAATACATTATCACTCCTAATGAGACAAGGTAAGCAAAGCTAAGTGATTACAAGACTTGTATGTGGTCTTTTTTTTTTTTTAATAGCAAAAATGCTGATGATTTTAAGCTTCTCTACTTTCTCATTCAGTGTATCTTGCCCTGTCCCCTGGGAACCAAGGGTATAGATGATCTTCCAATGCATTTTATGGAAGCAGCCATTCTATCAGGTATTGCTTGGGCCAGGACTGCTGCTTCGAATTCAAGGTTAGCTCATTCCCTGACTGTACCTGAAAAACAAAATTGTCTCAGGGAATCCAGGCAAGACACACACAGATTGGTACTAAGGAAGAAGTTAGGACAGTTTCTATATGACACCAGAAGTCAGGAAGGAGAAGAACATTGAGAAAGATTTTTTATAAGAGGACTTGTGAATTTAGCATTAAAATCTGCAGTCCAAACCATAGTTACTCAAAATGTGGAATTTGGGGACAGAATCCTAAAAATCTTCATCTTCAGATTTTCACATGCTTTTTAGGCATGTTGAACTTCAATTTTGTAATCTATATTACTCCCAAGTACTGGGCAAATTTTAGCAGGCAACAAGTCTAAAAAAAAATCACAATAACTAGTGGGACCTGAACTTTTCTATTAATGGGACCATTTTAAAAAAAGGAAAAATGGTGGACTCATCTTTAAGAAAAGGAATCAGATGCAGCTAACAGATCTACCTCCTATGTGTCAGGCACTGTTCTAGACTTTTCCCAGGTATTGTTTATTTTTTTCTCATTGAATTTGCACAACCCATTTGAAAAATGAGGAAATTACGTTGAGTGACTTGTCCTAAATTCCAAGATAGTAAAATACACCAAAGTACATTCCTGTTTGTTCCTGCTGGACACTCAAGTTTTCAATCCTGTGTTCTTCCCACTGGGTAGTGTTTTTCACATTGAGTACTACAGAAAACGTTAGAATACTTTCTTTCATTCCAGAAATGGATATAATTGAAAATTATAATGTATTTTTCTGTAAGTGATCAGACTATGCAGTTGCTATTTTCTTATAATGAATGAGTTTGAAGAAGAAAATGACTTCTTTCCCAATGAAAGTATCCCTCCCCAACAATGGTGTACATATGTACATATGTAAGTCTGAAGATATTTATAAAAAAGCTGAAAGTATGTACACCATCGCAGAATCTCCTGACAGCTACATTTACAAATAGATAAAAAGACCCAGATGCCACAGTCTCACAGGGCTCTCAAAAGGCCTATGGAAGTTCATGTTTTAGGTGTCATGACTTAGAATCCAAAGTTTTATGGCATTCTTTAAAATTCCAAATATTTAATTTTTAAGTAAAATATATAGCATATGGTAGCTTTTCCTGCTGGAAAGACAACTCACAAAAATAAAATAAGTGATCTATTACCATCTCACTAATGATGACCAAGTGTCTCTACCTCAAATGAAAAACTGAAATGGTTTGCCAAAAAAAAAAAAGTAGACCTTTGACTAAAATATGTTCATGAGACATTCTATGGTATGTGTAGGTATAAATAATTACTTGAACAATTAAGCTTTCTCTGAACATTACATATTGTCATCTCATTGGTTTAATAAGCTGTTTAAGCTCCTCAGCTTCACATTGGCTTACTAGAAAGGAGTTGTTTTAAACTGCCCACATATTCCAATAAATATATCAGCAACATAATGGTTTCATCCCAGAACTGCAGATACAGCCCAGGGGAAAAAAACAAATGAACAGCATGAGACTTAAAAGAAAAAAAAAGAAATACTCTTTTCAGACACACTAGTGAATTTCTAATTTTTTTTCTTTTTTTGGCAAGAGTTTAAACTTGTAACGTAAGGCCCAGAAGAATCAGTATGCCGAGAGAACTTAAAAAACTTCACAGAGTTCTAAGCACTCATTAACTGAATATGTTTAGTTGTGTTTGTTTCGTGCAATTCAGAATTTTAGGTGACATAAATTTGAGGAAGAGTAGAAAAGAAATCCACAAAATGTAGCTTTTCCTATTTTTCATCATGTCCACTCAATATTCTGTTTTATTTTCCTAGATACAATCTGAAACTGGGAGTAGACTTTTTTATTCACTGAGAAGTAATTTCAGTGTCTATCCATCTCAATTTGGACCTATCTGTTAATCAACCAGAGTTTTAGTTCCATAATACCTTTCCATTTTCCTTTGAAGTACCTTTAACATGCCTGGAACTGCCAAGAATCTGAGACCTTGCTTATTGTAAGGTGACATATTGCTTAAAGGCATTTATAATCCATATTCAGATCCAATCTAATTTAAGCAAAGGCTTAAATTGAAGTTGTTTCAGGTAGTATTTGAGGCAGAGAAGCTGCTTCCAACTTCAGTATTTCTGGCTAGATTATTTTGTTTGAATAATGCAGTTACATAATTATCTCTAACCAAAATGATAATTTTGATGTTTTCAGACAAACTCTGATCATCAAGGCCAAAGAAACACATGAATACTCTAATTTCTATTACTGGATTCAGACAAGAGTTAAGTCAGAAGCAATGGATTCAGTGACAATGTCTAGAAAAATGTTTAATGTGTGTGAACATAGACTACTAGTATTGGTCAGTTCCTTCAATGTTTTAAGCCAATAAGCACTGAGGTGACATTTCTCAGAGGGAAACAGATTTTATTTCCCAGGGACTAATTAATATGCACCACCTCAGTTCCCAAAAGACCACACAGGTGCCTGTGCTATGCCATATGTCATGTGCTGTATTCCTGCACGCACAAGAGATTAATATGCGATCATTATTATGAATTATTATGTTGCATTGCAGTTAATGTTGGTCTTTTGTTCTAATTAAAGTACAAACTTGGCATCTCACATGAAGCTTAGTTAGAGAAGTGAAGTTAGAGTTCCTATTTTAATGAACTACATATATTTTTCAATCAAAATGTGTAATTATTTAATTATTCAGCCCACTCAGTAATTACAATTCTCCAACTTATTCAACAAACTTTTATTCAATATGTTAACACACAGATGGCCACAGCTTGGTGTGTATTTTTTCCTTGGAATTTGTTAACCATTTTTGAATCATACTTTCAGTGTATGTGGTAGTGTTTTAGCAATCTTAATAATATATATTTTTTTACTTTTATATGAAGCTGCTGCAAATGCACTACCTTACTCTGAAAGTTAGAATAAAGTGCTATTACTCTACCAGGAAAATTTTATCATATGTCTTTAGTAAAAAACAAACACATAAACAAAATGCTTTACTACATCATTCCAAGTTGTCTGCAGGAAACAAAATCTGGAGATGGTTAAGTGTAGTTCACATAATTATATCCCAAAGATATTATAAATAATTATATTTAGCAGCTGGTCTAGGACTCTAATAAACAATTTAGTGTTTACATTTCAGACAGAAAGGTTTAGTGGCAAATACATCCACATGTACTCTAACTCGCCACTTGGAGAATATGAATACAATGTATACAATTGTAGTCATAAAAGAAATAAAAAGAATACTTTGAAGGACTAATTTCTTTTCTGTAGACATCTAGAGGATCAGCATGACATCTGGATATTAGTTTTTTATATTTATATATGTGTTTGTGATATTAATATACACCATGCATTTAATACTTTAATCATGTCTGCTATGTAGCAACATTTAGATATATAAGATTTTGTAGTAAGTAAAAGTTCTCAATGGTATAACATTTAAAAATATAGCCTTAAAGTGAAGAATGAAGATGAGCAAGGGAAGATTTGTAGATTCACTGTGGGTAAACTTTAGAGGATAATTTCAGCAAAGAAATGTGCTTTGATTAAAAACCAATGTCAATTAAGAGGTGTCCCAATTATTAAATTGCACTGTACTGTTTTAGTTGTTTGTTCAAAATAATTTGATTATCATCTGTGATTCAGAAATATTTCATTGTACAGAAATTTTCACTGTTATTCTTCTAATTGATTTTTAATGGCATTAATTTAGAGGCATGAGTCTGTAGTGTTATTATTGTATAGTGTTGAGTGTTTCATTTTTATAATGTTTGAATGCTCATCATAAATGTAGTGATTTTTATGTTTATCTCAAGTGTGATCTCAATTTTTTTCCATAACTTCATTTGTTTCTTAACATGACTCAGTATGCAGCTTATCTAGGAAAGTATGTTGTGATGTGGAGTTATAAAAAAATAGATGGTGATACTACATCTATTAAGGATAAACTGAAGAGTTTATGTCAATTGCTTAAATATTTGCACATAATTAAAAATAATACAATGAAATGAAGGCATCTTTTTGACAACATGTTCTGAATCATATATGCAACGAATATGTACATTGAAATGGTAATTTTTAAAACATTCATTTAAAATTACAGATGAAAATGATTGCTATACTGCATTTTTAATTATAAAATATATTATATTTGAAGCATACAAACTTGGTTATTAATATATTTTATTAATGAATTATTTTTACACCATATACATCAGACCTAAGTAGGATATTCCCTTGTTTATGGAACTCTCCATATGGTTTTAACATCTTTTTTCTTCTTTTGGTCCTCCATTTTTTTCCTTGAAAATTAGACATCATATTGGTTCTTTAATTTGGAGCTTTTGACAAAGTCAAATATCAGGTAATATTATCTGTATCAACTCTAGGGCTAAAGAGATGTATTTCCCTCATTTGCTTAAAAAAATGCTTTCAGGAGTGTGCCTTTAATATACCAGTTAAGATGCCTGCATCTCATTAGATTGCCAGGTTCCATTCCCAGGTCTGCTACTGGCTCCTGCTTCCTGCTAATGCAATCCTTGAGAAAGGGCGATAATAGCTCAAGTGATTGGTTCCTTCCACTCATATGGGAGAGTCAGGTTGGATTCAAGAATCATGGTTTTGGCTCTAGCCAGGGGCTGTTGAAGGGATTTGGTAAGTAAACCATCGGAAGCAAAATTTCCCTTTCTGCTTCTCTCTCTCCCAATCTCAAACCCAGATAAATAATAAGAATTATTTTAAGATGCTGTCAGTTATTTATCACACAGATAGATAGGGATCTCTATTGCATGTGTAGCAGGTTTTGTCAATTATTTAATTCATTAAACACTTACTAACAGCTTATTCTAGACCAGACATGCTATTGGGTACTGGAGATATGAGGATGATAAGAATATTTCTGGCCGGCGCCACAGCTCAATAGGCTAATCCTCCACCTAGCGGCACCAGCACATCGGGTTCTAGTCCCGGTCGGAGCGCTGGATTCTGTCCTGGTTGCTCCTCTTCCAGGCCAACTCTCTGCTGTGGCCCGGGAGTGCAGTGGAGGATGGCCCAACTGCTTGGGCTCTGCACCCCATGGGAGACCAGGAGAAGCACCTGGCTCCTGGCTTCAGATCAGCGCGGTGCGCTGGCCGCAGCATGCCAGCCGTGGTGGCCATTGGAGGGTGAACCAACGGCAAAAGGAAGACCTTTCTCTCTGTCTCTCTCATTATCCACTCTGCCTGTCAAAAAAAAAAAAAAAATATTTCTGGGGCCTGCATTGTGGCGTCCTAGGTAAAGCTTCCATCTGTGACACACACATCACATTTGGGTACCTGTTCCAGTCACGGCTGTTCCATTCTGATCCAGCTCCTGTTAATGTGCCTTGAAAAGCAGTGGAAAATGATCCAAGTGCTTCAGCCCCTATACCCACATGGGAGACCCCGAAGAAGCTCTAGCCATTGCTGTATGGGGAGTGAACCAGCAGATGGAGAATCTTTCTCTGTGTCTCACCCTCTCTTTGTAACTCTGCTTTTCAAGTAAATAAAATAAATCTTTAAAAATAAGTAAATAAAAATTGAGAATAAAATATACATTAAAAAAGAAAAGAAAGAAAAAAGAGCATTTCCTTTTTATAGGACTTCATAGTCAAATAAGTATAATACTGAAGTTTGACTATAGTAATACTAGATTCAGAGACACTTATAGATAGTGTAGTTGTATAGATATAGTTTAATGGTACCATACCACACAATACTCAGGTCACACATTATCTCATTGGGCCTTCTTTGAGGTCCTTTAAGACTAAAGAAGACTGTTTTTTCTCCAGTAGCCCTGCTATACAATACCATTATTTAGAGGCTCTCCATTGTGTCAGGCTCTGGTTGCCAAGCATTACTTGGATGATATCTTTAAATCTTAGAATAGTCTTTGTCATAGGTAATTTCATTCTGTCCCATTTAATGGATGAGAAATTAAGATTAATAATTTGTAACAGAAATTAAACTATTACACAATAAACATTAGCAAACTTAAAAAAATTGCAAGATAATATGTTATATAAATATGCTATATAATATATTTATATGTAAATATAATTTGCTCAGTAAGATTAAAACAATAAACAGGAGGGGGAATTATAGCAGAGCAAGTTAAACTGCTGATTGGGACACCCAAATCCCATATTAGGTGACACTTTGAGACTTAGCTACTTCAGTTACAATCCAGCTCTCTGCTAATGGGTCTGAGAAATAGCACATTATAGCTCGAATGCTTGAGTTGCCATTCATGTGGGAGACCTGGATATAATTCCTAGCTCTTGGTTTCAGCCTGGCCCAGCCTTAGCAGTTGCAGGTATTTGGGGAGTGAACCAGAGGATGGAAGATCTCTCTCATTCTGTCATTCTGCCTTTCAAATAAACACATAAATAAATATTTTTATAAAATTATAGTCATGTATTGCTTAACAATGGGAATATGTTCTGAAATGTATCAATATGTGATTTTTTTGTTGTGCAAACATCACAGAGCACAC